TTGATCTGGGGGCGACACCCGGCACGTCAACGCAACTTTGATTTATTCGAACGCATGAAACGCTTCGTTGCGTTTTGTTAATTTGTACACCATTTAATGCCTTTCAAAAATTCTGCTTGCTCTTCTTCTTCCCTTTATACTCATTAACAATGCATTTTTTTTTATTTGTTGTTCTTTTGTAATTTTATTCATTTTTTTAACATTTGTTTATTCTTCATTTTTTTTTTTTGATCTGATTTTAATTGCAATCGTTACGATATTATTAACTAAACCCAACTAAAATTTCGACAAACATAAATTTACAAGAATCAAGTTATTATATAAATATTGGTATTAATTATTGAATAAATTTTGTAATTTTTTTTTTTGTTTTATGTCATACATCACTTTTGGTACAAGGAGATATTAAGTTAATGCGGACGTATACAATAACCAGATAGATTGGAGATAGACCTAATCTTTATTTTGACGTTCTTAGCGTGTCTGTCCTTCTGTCCATGTATTCTTTCGTTTAACTTAACGTTGACCTTTCTAACTGGTTTAACTGAATTTCGAATCGATATATGATTTTTATACTATACACCACTTCTCTTACAAGGGCATATTAAGTTAACGTGGACGTATGCAACACTCAGAAGGATTGGAGATAGACTTACCCATTATTATGCCGATCGAATCCGAATTATACTTTTCGTACCGTTCCGGACACATGCATTCCTCTGCCCATCCGTGCGTGTATTGGTGGACCACATCCTGCGCTGGTGAGTCTAAAAGATTAATAATTTTCTCAATACTCATATAATATACAAGATGCAGCGATGTACAATTATTTTATATATAGATATATAGTGAGTGCCTAGACAAAAACGGAAAAAATCGACCACACCTACCACACACTGTAGAATATAAAAACTTCATTTTGACATTTGCAGTTAATTTGTGGTTTTTTTTTTTTTTTTTTTGAAGCCAAAGCTGGAGAACTTTATTTAATCGCCATTTCAAATTCGCTACAAACGATAAATCGCCAGAAAAATATATACAAATCGATTTCAGGTTGCTATGCTATTCATGTTGTCGTGTACCCACGACAAACGAGCGGAATATTCAAAGCCAGTTGCAACAACATTTTTCTTTCCAGAAAGCGGTGCGAAAACACAAAAAAAAAAGAAATGTAAGCACACGGATGGCCTGCAAAGGGGAAATATTAACGCGGAATCTCCTTAGCGGACATAAACAGAAAAGCACAATTTACGGACTGCCGCCGCGGGAATCGAATCCTTCGCTTTCGTTCGAGTTCCGAGCGTCTTGACACGGTAGCAATTTCAAATTGAACAACTTGTCTTAAAACTTTTAGCGTTAAAAAAAGAAGAAGAAATAATTTTAAATTTTGAAAGACAAGAACTACAAGTGATAGGTTTTGCAAAGTGATTTACCGAAGATAGCTACGCATTGCAGTTGAAACCTATGAAAGTCTCTCATCAAATAAGAAACGAATTACGTTTGCTTTATATAATAAAAAAGTATGATACAAAGCGGGCAAGGTTCGAGCTCGCGCTCTCAGTTACTTGGAAATCTGTTACCTCTTGTATATAGGCTTTGATGTTCTATACGAATGATTGCATTGTTTATGAATAAAAAGCGAAAACGGGAGGTAAAAATGTTCGCTGCTCACTCTGTGCACTGATTTCGCAGTCCTTGTACACTTTTTACGCGCGTTGTCAACAGTCAAGCAAAAGATAATTTTTTTTTTTTTTCACTTAACGTTTACAAACGTATAAAGAACGACCTACCATAGAAGAATGTGTGTTTGTCTGTCGTACGCTATGCCGTTTATGGTAATAGCATGTCAAGTGTGTGAAGACCTACGCGACATGCAAAATCCTCAGGGACTCTGTGATGTCAGCTCATGTCAAGTCTTTTGATACCCATAGTATATATGTATATTCTTGATTAATATACATGTCTGTTCGTCTGTCCCTCTGTCCCTTAGTAGTAGTGAACACGCTACCGTTCGTAAAATTTGATCTTATCTGTGAAACTTGTTTACGTAGAAACGGGGCAATTGGTCAAAGGGCACATGCAAGCTAAGTTGACAGTAGCACTGCTTTCAAAAGCAAAATAATTAGGGCTACTAATAAAGTACAATGTGCTCAACAACAAAACATTTCCAAGTACTTACTTTGAGCGATATGACAGTTCCTGGGATTGAAACAATCGGCACTGTTCACTCTCCATTATATAGTATCTAAAATCCATTTTTTATACCCTACAGTACATTGTGGTACGAGAACATATTAAGTTCGCGTGGATGTGTGCAACGCACAGAGAGATTTTGTGATAGACCCATCTTTTGTTGTACCGATCGAATTGAAATCACTTTCTGAATCGATTTAAGCTCGTCTGTCCGTCCGTCTGCCTTGTTTTCTTGTATTTAACCTCAAGGCCGCAGTTTTTGACATATTTCGATGCACTGATGATTGATACACTGATGTTCGTTAGGCTTAAGAACACACATTACTGAAAGTTTTTCCGATCGGACCATTGTTTCGACAACTTTCCATATGACGCCTTATTCCGAAAAGGCGTTATGTAAATAACGCCTATGATGATGTAGGGTTTTTAATAGTTGGCTATGCCACTCCGCTACTCACTTTTAGATGCAAATTTGAAGTTGTTAGGCTATGTGCGATAGAGCTCCTTGCGAGCCTTAAGCCCTTGAGCTGAAGATCTTTTTAGAGAATAACCTTAGGCCTCTAAGAAGGAAATCTTTTTACGGAATAACTTTGTTGTTTCCAATTTGAAAACATTTATATTATATACAAACATAAGCGGAATAACCGCGTCGAATATTGTTATTCTATTTTACCTTTCCTTCCATTCAAATGGATTGCCAAAGAACTGTTTGTTTTAGTCTGCTATAGCGGCCTTAACCGTTAAAGCTCTCATTATTTCTCTAAAAATTTTTTTTTTTTTTTGAAAATTGGAAATTTTCTTCATTTTATATGCGAGATTAATTTTCACTTCTGATCAATTCCGCATGACGTCTTCTCTCTTAAGAAGGAAGTTAAACTGAGTATTTCTTTTATTGACTTAGGCGTTCTATTGGACCAAAAATTACGTTTTAATTTGCAGATGGAAGTAAAGCTAGGTTCGCGCTTGGTTTCATTAAGAGGTGGTCCGAAGAGTTGGAGGATCTTTACATTACCAAAAAGCTATACATGTTTTTAATTAAACCGATATTTGAGTGCGCCGCCCTTGATTGTGTGGTATCCAACCTATTGGTCTCATGTAGATTAATTGAGTCGGTTGAAAAGCAGTTCTTGCTGTTTATCCTTAGGATTTTCAGTTGGAATCCGTCTCTTGTCTCTTTGCCTACTTATGAAAATGAGTTGCTTCTGTTATCCTTGCCGTCAGTTCAGAAACATAGATTTATTCTTAGTATCTCCTTCTTAATTAAGTTCATTAATGGTATTATCGAGATAGGCTTTCATGTCTCCAGCCGCTTGTCCACGCACTTTATGTTCATTAAGCTGAGCCGGTGTAAATATAATTATGAGCTGTTTAACCCGGTTTGAGGTTTGTTTGTAGATGTGTATCACTTAATTTCAATATCGGAAGCCTGTCAAAACGACTTTGCCTAATAAGCCGCGATTTGCTCGATATCGTTTTTTAATTAACTTTTACCCTTAATATCTCGTTATGATTCGATAAGTGATTGGTGTTGTTTACTGTTATCGGTTGCCAAGCTTTGACATGTTTGCAATGGCTTAGGGATTCCCTTACAACTTGGTTCTGTACTGGTTGCGGGTGTGCCTCTGTGCTAGTTGTATACATGCATTTTTTCCTTTTTTTTTTGAATTATTATTTAATAATTATTAATATTATTTTTCTTTTCCTTATATCTTCTTATATGCTTTATACTAATATTTAATATTAATTAGTATAGGATTTATTTCGAAGAATTAATTGATTTCAACTGTTAATTTGGTTTAGTTGCATTTCACATCTAAGTAAGTAAAATAAAATAAACAAAACATGTTTTGTGTAAAACGCTTCAAGTGAGCGGGGAGGGGGGGGGCTGCACGGGGGGGCGGGGGGTCGCATATGCAGTAAGACGTAAGACAGATTGAAAAAGTAAGAGAAGGTCGGTATAGAATACTTTTGCTTCTTGGAAACGTATATACTCGGGCGCAATGAACATCAACACTCGTCCGATAATAATAATAATAATAATAATAATAATAATGGTCACTCCACTCATTCCATTCATTTGAATATAAAAGTAGTACATACATATATATTGATCATTATTAAAAACAGACCAAATGTAGATTATTATTAATAGATGGGCGTGGTATATGCTCTTCTGTTGTAGGTAAAATTAAATATATATGTATACACATATAGTTTATGCAGAGCATAATTCAAGCTTAGCGTAATTAACAAACAAGCGTTAAATCAAAATAATAAACACCAAAGATGTGATTCATTATTTATGTATATAATTAGCCGCAACAACGACAATAATAATAATAATAGTATACGTTTCTTATTTTCTTTATCTATTTTACACATATAAATATGTGTTTGTGTGCGCAATAAACATAATCAACGTTTCCCCATTGGCATGCGCCATATTGAATTTATTGCATCAAAGGCGGAGTTTATCGTTATACGCAATGGATTCTCATTCGGCATTCGTGTAAACTTTTCATAATGGTGGTGGTGGTTGTGTTAACTCATACACGCTTGCATAAGAAATGATATTCGTTCGGTAACGACCCCGCTCAGAATAAACCGGTCAGTATAGTAAAGTCTCTTAAACGGTTCACTGGTTGACGTGTTTTTCGTGCTTGTGCTATTTATTTTCGGTTTTATCGCGTTCACATCGCATACACATGAACAGGCCGTGTGCATGTTGTTGTGTTAATTATTATTGCAATAAAATTTGAAATATTTTATTGGGTTTTTGGTAATTTTTGCATACAATTTATTGCGAAATGGAAAGCTCGGAAAATGCGATAATTGAATTGGAAAGTGCAACAACAACAACAACAGCAACAACAACAGCAGCAACAACAAAGCTTAATAGTAAATTCTCTACAGCATTTTCAATTGAAAATCTGATCGCTAATCAAAATGCTAATAAAACTGGACTAGAGATGCAAAAGAACTCAGATACCGTACAAGAGTTAAGTGCTCGAGCTATGGTCGCCTCATCAGCTCTTGGATTAACTAATTTTCCTTTATATAATCCATGGTTGCATGGATATTTTGCCCAAAATCATGATCGGCTTGCGCAATTCCTTGCCCATAACACTTGTGCTCTGCCATCGCATTTTGTTAAAGACAACAAAAGCTTTAACGATCACGTTTCGAATCCACAATCGACAACGATTCAACACACAATGATTCCATCAATGAAAACTACTTTGGATTTAGATAATTTTGTGCAAGCACGTTTTCTATATAATCCGTCGGATAGTAGTTATCGTGAAAAGATTTTGATGTCAGATTTCGGTTTGAATGGCTTAAGTGCGATTAATGAAAATGTTCAAAACTTAAGTTTATCTAATCAATTCGCCCAGGATATTGGAAAAGTATTAACGGACGTTGCCTTATCCTCAATGCATACATGCGAACAAACACGTATCGTTGCGGATACGCCGCCAATGCATCCTAAAAATCATCATTCAGAGGCCATTGTTCACGTTGGCGTCGATGAAGAATTCGATTGTAGCGGCGACTCATGCAGCGATATTAGTTTAACTATGTCACCGGAACATTGCGGAGCGGATGTGGATAAGGCTAAGGGTAAAAATCTTATCATTCGAAATTTTATACTTTTTTTTAGCTCATTTACGATTGATAACAGTCAGCCTTTATCGTATAATTTTTTGCATTACATTACGGGATTCAAAGTTCTATTCTAAGATTGAGCTTTTTAATTGCGTTAGGCTCGGCCCATTCTTGTAATCATAATCAATAGTTGGAAAAGGAAAGAAAAAAATAAATGAAACCGTTATAATAGGTTCGTATAGGGCTCCACACATGCATGCTTTTGTTTATTTAAAGACTTTTCAGAATAAGGTTTAATATGGGGAGCGGCCAAAAAAGTAATGCGAACTGAATCATTTTCAATTGGGCCAATATGTAGCGGTGCACCAACTTTCGTCAAAGTGTCTTAACAATTGTGACCTACAAGTCAGACGGAGAGACGGACATACAAGCTAAATCGTTAATAAAAGATGGATCTATCCAAAGTCCTACTGGATGTTGCATACATCCATGCAAACATAGTACGCCCATGTACCACGTAAGTGGCATCAGGTATAAGAAGTCATGTCATCATTTCTAGAAGAAGAAGAATTATTGAAGCTATTTGGAGGCTTTATTTGTACGCTCAGAAAATGCACACTCGTTTATATCTGAGATTATTAAATATCTAGAGTGGACGCGTCTCTAATATTCAATCAACAAGTAAGGAAATCACCGGAACACTTTTTATTAACTGGGAACGTGTCAAAAGGCTGTTGAGATATTTTTTTTATTCAACTCCGATCAATATTTGCCTTTAAATGCAAGTTATTGAGTTCAGTTTTTCAGATGAACGGATTCTAAACATTGCGAACGTAAGAATTTTAAAAAGAGGTGGATGGAAGTCGACATGGATAGAGTACGACTTTATCGATCTACAATCTTACAAGGATCGGTAATAGGTATATTTCAGAGCCCGATATTATGGCCATTTCTTAGGTAATCGTTTAAATCGAGATTGACATGGCTTAGGATAACTCTGAACTCCTAAATTTCTCACCTTCAAGTTTGTCCCACAATCGTAAAAGAAATAATGCCTATTAGCTAAGCAATCTTCGAACGGTTAACCGGTTTGCAAACAATTTCAAAAAGTAGTTATTTTTAATTTCTCAATCGTATCCGCCGTCACTCCTTCATCCTAGTATCCGACACAAATTGTAGTAGTGTTGTAGTGCGCTGCAAAAAATAGTGTACTATAAAACAGATATCTTGATGGCGAGAAAGAAAAGGTCCAAATTTTATATTCGTCTTTCTTCGATCTTAGGTGGATGGCCAGCGACAATATTTCCTCATTATATATACTTTCATAAAAATTCAGATTTATGATAGGTTTGACCGAAAAAAAAAAATGAACTCAAAAATCTGACGTCACTCTGACGCTATGTCGTCAGTCTTCCTGTATAATAGGCGCAAGCAGAAGAGAGGAACTCAAATTATGCCCATTGTTCTCCAGTACGCTCTTTCAAGGTCAATTTAAATAGTTTGGAATTTCTTTACCCTGGTTTTCAGGTGATTTCTAAAAATACCTTCAAAATGCTTTTCAGCGATTGCTACAAATTTGTGGTGAAAAGCATCGAAAGTTTTTAATGAGATTTTTTTTCCAGATTTGAGGCGCGTAACATCCGATGAATATTTTAATTGATTCTCCTGTAACTGTACTGTAACAGTTTTGTTAAAAGTGATGAAAAATGCTTTTTTCCTTCTCAAAAGGGAAACTAATTGTCATGAACTCTTTCACCGAACAAGTCTAAACTAATCACTTACGACGAACGCAAATGAATTTTAGTGTCTCAGCTTAAGGTAACGAAACATAACAACGATATGACGCTTTTTTGGGTTGATTGTAAAAATATGTATGAAATTTGACATCCGATGTCGAACACACAAGCACATGCTATCGATTATCATCAACTTATTACTCGATAGCGAGAATTGTTTACGCTCGAGTTAGCCCGATAACCAGAACTGTAGGTCGACGCCGACCCTTTTATTGCATTATGGCAGCAAAATCATATGGTTTGAAATATTGATCAGGTGACTAGGTACCTTAATAAAGCGAGAAATTCCTTTAAGAGTAGACTTTTGTTGGAAGAAGAAGACAACTTTGATTACTTTTCGAAAATCAAAAATTATGAATAACATAATACATATACCGTCACTATCGGCCAATTTTAAAACTATATGATGCTTGAAATATTCGAAATGTAATTTTGTTTGTTGTCTCCGTGCGTGAAGCAAAATCAAAAGTTTCCCATCCCAGTACACGTGCAATCAACGTTGTCTGTTGATATTCGAAGCCAAGTGTACGCAGACTCATTTTCTATTACGGGTTACTTGTCGGTTCCATCATGTTAAGGAAGCTCGTGGTATTTTATTATGTCTTAAAAGAGTGCTTGGAGTGACCTTGACTTCTTTCTTGCAGCAAGTAAGAAAGTTCGATACTAAATCGGACAAGCCACTGTTACAGCTTGGGTATCTTTTTGTAAAAGAAACGCAAAAATACCAAAAATTTCGATAGCCTATAACATAAAGGGGGAGATTTTTCTATAGGTAATAGAGATCATCTGTAGAACGTAAGCGGATATTTTCATCGCTCCATCTATCGATGTTTATGAGTAATACGTGAAAAACCCAGAAAGTTGAGCGTTCTCAGTTTATGTTATGGGTTTAGCTTTTGTCCCATTCCGGATGGCAAGCTGCATGCAACAATTTCCAAAGTTTTCACCAAACTTAAGCCAAGAGTTTACAACAGATGTTGCATAGATGAAAAGACAGATAGACGGATTAGATTCATTGCGGATTTGATGCTGACCGAAAATATATATACATTTTATAGAGTTTCTGAAACCTATTTCCTGTGCGTCATTATTTGTGAAATAAAAATTAATGATAAGAGCAGGTGTGCGAAGAAATTCTCTGCTCTCTGAAATTTGTTTCATTATGCTATGTACATGATGTGTCCATTTATTCCGAAATTTTGGGTAAACATCGTTCAGACAATGATGTTTGTATCTGTCCTTCACTATATATCGAAATGTGAAGAGGTGTCTGCCATTTACGCCTGCGCATGTTATTTTGGTTGAAACTTGAAAAACATCTGCAGCTCGAGCTATGTGTGATTTCGTTAGCTTGGGGTGAAAATGCCGTAAGCTACCCAGCAATTAAAAAGTGATTTGCGAGATTACCTATAAAAACGTTCGCAAATGTCCGTCCGTCTCCAGTAAAAGCAGTTCAGCAATTTGTTCTTGGGAGCTTTTTCCCATTGCAACACATTCTTCAGACCGATATTCGTCTGACTGCCATTTGTACATGTTGATGCAGTCATATTTGGCAGATCAGCAGCCCAAAAAAGTTAAAGATATGGGAAAGTGGGTCGATAACTATTTCGCCTTGAAACCATGAAGTTGCTAGTGCGGGCTAGCATAAGCCACACGATAAAAAGGGAAAAATCATAGATAGTGATGGTGAATATGCTCCGGCTGTTGTAAGAACAAAGGCAGAGCTATGTGTTCTCTGACCAAAGCTTTCATGGCTTTGTGATGCCGGAACAAAAATCACATTAAAACTCTCCAATATCGAATTTATTATTAAACAGTCTTGTTAGTAGCTGTATACTGATCAATTTCACATCATAAGTCACAAGGCACAACCGGCTTTATAATAATCTTATCACAGCGTATCAAAATGAACACAAAACCAAACCAACCAAAATAAGAATGCATAGGGTTTTCTTTTATGACAAGTGACCGATCAAAATTCCAGAATATAACCTTAAGTCACGAAAAGCACCTGATTTGGGTCTTGTGTCTTCATGTTATCTATTATGCTATTCAGGATAGGGCTGTTAAACTAGCATAATTTTCAGCATGACTCGAACCTGGAACTAAATACTACCAACTATCTGTAAACTACTTTTCAAAAGAAGGCCAGCAATTGCAATTTTCAAAATTTTGTAGGAAATTACGTTTTTATCAACTTAGCAGAAACGATTAGGGTATTGTCGTAACTGTGGCTGTTAACGGGAACTTACTTATTTTGGGATTAATCTGATAACGGCATGTGTGGCATTGAAACTCAATAATCATTTTGGTTGGTTGACAAATCACTTTCAAAAATCTTCCCAAATAACGTAAACTTGAAATAACTACCACGACTACTACGACTTATCCTTGACAAGCTCCGTGCTCGTGCATAGATGGCGATGGTTAGGAAGGAATCTAGGCAGCACTTCCGTTAATAACCTTTTTCAGGTTTATTCGCTTAGTCAAGATGCGTCATTAACTTCCTGAAAATAATTCGTATTTTCAAAGGATTCTTAAAATCCTTTAAAGGAGTATTCCTTGACTGAACAGATCAAAATGTTGTGGACTAGAAACATAAATGCAATGTTTGTTAATTTTTTCGTCGATAAGATTCGTCAACAGCAGGATAAAACTATTTTAAGGTCTCTATGGCGTATTTCATACTTATTTACTACGCATGCACGGTAGACTATGCGGTAATGTCGAAGGCTTAGTCTCGTTAGTGAGATTGCAGATGAAAGAAAAAGAATCTTAAAATTATGCAGTAAGCAGTGCAGTGAGTAAATGTAACAAATATCAGATCTTATAATGCAAGACAGCGCACTGCTAGCACATCCGTAACTGAATCAGTCAACTGGAATTATACCAGAAAGTAGAAAGTTATGTCAGTGCAAACATGCCGCCATATGGGAAAGATAAACTAATCGATTTAGTTGAAGCACACGGACATTAGGAGGAATAGCTTTAATGGAACACACAGGATACGCTAAAGACATTATGTTGTAAATATCATTTCAATTCCTCTCAAGGACCTTAAGTGGCTTCATAGTTGACGGCAAAATCCCCGAGTCGATAATGCCATGAGATAATGACCAAGAAGACTAAGTAAAATTGAAGATGAGGATATAAGTCGTCATCTATTTTCGTACGGGAGAAGAGAGATGGACATATGGATCTCAACATAAATTTCGCAGT